TGAAGAGGGAGGGAGGGAACCTCTAGAAGCTGGAAAAGACAAAAAACCATATTCTCTCCAAGTACCTCCAGAAGGCATGCAGCTCTCTGGATCCATTTTGGACTTCTGACCTTGAGAACAGTGAGATAATACATTTAATATTAATATATAATACATTTACCAGGCCCTTCCAACCCATCCTCCATGCTGCAGCCAGAATAATTGCATGAAAACACAAATGGATTTATGAAAAACCCTGTTTAGAAAACCTTTAATGTCTTCTTATTACCATTAAAATGAAATCCAAATGTCATCATGTAAAGGACCAGCCCTGCATGATCTGGTCCCTGCCTGCTTCTCCAGCTTTATCAGAGTGCAGTAGTGGTTAGTCAGAACATCTGGCTTTGAACTCTCTTTGTGCCATTTACCACCTGGGTGACCTTAGACAAGTTCATCTCTCTGTGCCTGTTTCCTCATTGGAGAAATACCTCATTGGGTGTTTGTGAGGATTAATGAGTTAATACAATACCTGGCACCATTCTAAGCACAATATAAACTGTTAGGTAATCTTATCATTATTGTGCTATTCATACATGCCATTGGCACATAGTAACACTAAACAAACATCTGATGAGTGAATGAATGAATGAAAACAGGGTTACATTCACAACTGCTATACAGAAACTATTATTTCTCTCTCTGGTTTGCAGAAATGAATCAGTTTCAAAGAAACACAGCCAAAACTTAGATGAACGAAGAGACAACTGAACATTTAGGAGCCACATTTTGGCCACTAGATGTATAAACTGGAATCAAAGATCTGATTTACTGTGAAGAAAGATGGAAGCGGTCCACTCTTGAGAGAATCTTTAACCAGCACTGAAGTACATTCCAACCAGCGTGAACGGGTTTTCAAACCAGCACTGATAACTGTTAAGACCTAAGGTTGGTATATACAATAAATATTGATATGTATTTCTAAACTGTTTTTATCTCATTTTCTTGACTTTCCTTTTTAATAATATGTTGCCTTCTAACTGCAGAATAATACTCATGGCTGTAGTGTTTCCACAGTATGATAGAAACCCACCTCACCCTAACAGTACCCTCTGTTCCTGATATTTACTTCCGGGTATGTACTATACAAAGAGAATACTTCCTGGAGGAATTCTGTGTAGTAAATGCCAGTTCCTTTGCACGTAAAGTCTTATTTCACTTACAATGAGTCTGTACGAAGAGAGAACAGTAAACATCTTGTGTGGGGAGAGAGGACTTTCCGTTGTCCACACCAATATACTTGGGAGGGGGGTTGAGGGACATTCTATCTACAGAGTTCTTTTCCCCTTTAGTTTAACGGCCTTAAAGTCCTTCATTCTACCCTCATATGTAAATGCTTTAATAACTGAATTCATTTGATCAAGCATTCCTTGAGCGCCTTTTAAAAAAAATATATATTTTACTTGTGCCAATCTTCCTCTACTTTATATGTAGGTCACCGCCACAGCATGGCTGACGAATGGGGTAGGTCTGTGCCGGAAAACCCAGGCCACTGAAGAGGAGTGCACTGAACTTAACCACTATGCCATGGGACTGGCCCAATATATATATATATATATAAAAATTAATATATATTTACATTTTTTTTTTTTGGTGAGGAAGATTGGCCCTGAGCTGATATCTGTTGCCAATATTCCTCTTTCTGCTTGAGGAAGATTGTCCCTGAGCTAACATCTGTGCCAATCTTCCTCTATTTTTGTATGTGGGACTCTGCCACAGCATGGCTTGATGAGTGGTGTGCAGGTCTGCACCCGGGATCCAAACTTGTGAATCCTGGGCCACCGAAGTGGAGCATGCTAACTTAACCACTATGCTACTAGCCCCCCAATACATACATTTTTAAATTTCATATTCTAGTTGTTTTTTGCTAATATATAGAAAGACAGCATTTTGAGCATGTTTATTGAGGTATAATTTACATACAGGAAAGCTTACACTTTTTAGTTCTATGTGTTTTGACAAACACACACAGCGTATACCACCATTATCAAGGTACAGAACCATTCCATCACCTCCCTCGCCCCCAAATTCTCTCATGCCTCTTTGTAGTAACTCCTCCCTTCATCTCCAGTGCCTGGCAACAACTGATCTATTTTCTGTCTCTATAGTTTTCCCTTTTCCAAGATGTCATATAAACAGAATCATTCAGTATGTAGCCTCTTGAGTCTGGCTTTCTTGACTTGAGGTTTAGATATGTTGTTGTGTATTCCAATAGTTCATTCTTTTATATTGCTGAGTACTACTCCATTGTATGGAGGTACCACAGTTCACTTATCCATTCCTCTGTTAAAGCAAATTTGGCTTATTCCCAGGTTTGCATGATTATCAATAAAGTTACTATGCCCACTGACATATGTTTTTTAGTGTGAACATAGTTTTCGTTTCTCTCAGGGTAAATATCTAGGAGTTAGATTGCTGGGTTGTATGGTAAGTGTATATTTAACTTCAGAAATTGCCAAATGGTTTTCCAAAGTGGCTGCAACACTTTGTATTCTCACCAACAATGTATGAAGGTTCTAGTTGATCTGCATTGTCACCAGCACTTGATATTGCCAGGTTTTTTAATCAAAATATTCTAATAGTTATGTGATGATATCTCATTGTGGTTTTAATTTGCATTTCCCTAACAACTGATGATGTTAAATATCTTTATATATGCTTGGTTGCCAAAGATATAGCTTTTTTTGTTAGATTTATTCCTACATTAGAATCTGTATCTACATATATCTATAAACAGTTTTAGCTACTACTAAAATTAGAATTTATTTACAATTATTTGCTGCTACTATATAAAAATACAATTGATTGTTATATATTAACCTTGAATCCTAAGACCTTGCTAAATTCACTTATTAGTTCTAATAGTTGTTTTGTCAATTCTTACGATTTCTGTGTACACCATTATGTCATATGAAAACAAAGAGTTTTGCTTCCTTCTCAATTGTTATGTCTTTTATTTCTTTTTCTTGCCTTAGGTTAATGGTTATGAACTATGGTAAAATGTCAAAAAGAAGTAGTGAGACTAGGCATCTTTGCCTTGTTGCTGATATTAGAAGAAAAATGGTCAGAATTTTACCATTAAGTATTTTAGCTATACATTTTTCACAGATGTCCTTTACCAGACTGAGGATATCTTCTAATCTTAATTTTTTGAGTGTTTTTTATCATGAACGGGTGTTGAATTTTAAGTGCTTTTCTGCATCTATTAGGATGATTATATAGTTTTTCTTTTTTAGTCTGATAATATGGTGAATAACATTGGTTTTCAAATGTTAAATCCACCTCGCATTCCTGGGATAAACCCAGCTTGATCAATTGAACTTGCTGAATTCAATTTGCTAATATTTTATTAAAGATATTTGTTTCTATGTTCATGGAGATATTGAGCTGTAAATTCTTTTTTTGGTAATATCTTTTCAGGTTTGTTATCAGTGTTATGTTGGCCTCAAATGATAGGAAAAGTGTTCCCTCTTCTATTTTCTGAATAAAAATTGTGCAAGATTGGTGTAATTTCCTCCTTAAGTGGTTGATAAATTTGACCACCGAAACCATCTGGGCCTGGAATTATCTTTGTGGGAAGTTTGTTGAACAAAATTCAATTTCTTTAATAGTAAAGGGCTATTCAGATTTTAAAATTTCATCCTGTTTCAGTTCTGATAAGTTGTAGTTTTCAAAGAATTTGTCCATTTCATCTACAATGTCAAATCGGTTGGAGTAAAACTGCCCATAATAGCTCCTATTATCCTGTTAATGTCTACATGTCTGTAGTGACGTCCTCTTTTACATTGAATTCTCTGTATTTTTTTCTTGGTCTAGTCAGGATATACACATTCATTAGTGTGTAAAACAGTTGGATTGAATCAATGCTGTCTGGATGGCAGCTTGGAAAGCTAGCCCTGTGCTTCTCAAAATGGGATAACTCACACCTCTGAAGATAAGAGGTCTAATCATTGGAAGCCACAGAAATATCATGGCACACGAATTTTTCTAGGAAAACTTCAGGGAAGTTCAATAATTTAAAGTTATATTAACAAGACTACATTTTTCCTTCAAGTAAAACACATACATTATGTGATGTAGATTTTATTCACTTTTAAGATAATTGGGAAACATTATGAAAGTTTCCCATTTTAAGGATTTAGGGCTACACTCCCACTCCTTTGCCACTCCTTTTTTTTCTTTTAGGAAGACTAGCTCTGAGCTAACATCTGCCGCCAATCCTCCTCTTTTTGCTGAGGAAGACTGGCCCTGAGTTAACATCTGCCCATCTTCCTCTTTCTGTGTGGGACGCCTACCACAGCATGGCTTGCCAAGCGGTGCCATGTCTGCACCCGGGATCCCAATCAGCAAACCCCAAGCCCCTGAAGCAGAATGCCTGCACTTAACCGCTGTGCCACCAGGCCGGCCCCTTTCGCCACTTTCTTCTCTCTTCTCTGCCCTGGGAAAACCAAAGAACTGAATCAAATCCAAGTTCTTCGCCTTATAGCTGCAAAAGCCTCTAGATCATGGATGCCCATGGTTACAAAAGACAGGTGGGAACAGAAATATGCCCAGTAATTTCAACGGACCCGAGGGCTTAAATTTAGAATGAGTGTGTCTTGAACCCTCTGCCTAGGCCTTGACCATGTGTCTCCGACTCTTGAGTGTTTTTAAAATTGTTCTTATTCTCGTGCAGAGAGTAGGGTATAGAAAAGTAACATGAGTCAAGTGTGAATCCGGGAGAAGGAAAGAATAAGTTGACACTTACTGTGCAGTCCTTTTTCTAGGGAGTAACATGGTATTTAAGACTGGCAACCCCCTCAAATAGGTTTTCTTGATAGTCTCATTTTACAAAGGAAGACAGTGTCACTTGTGGAAGGTCACACAGGTATGCAATGCAGATGGGCGTCTGAACCCCGCAGGGAAATAGCTACGGGAAGACACAAATAAAACAAACGCCGGTCCCCTGGGTCCCTCCCCCGCACCCGGCCTCCGCGGGCCACAGAAGACGCCCCTAACCGCGCTCCGCAAGAGGCCGCGCCGTCAAGAGACTGCAGCGGCGCCGACAGCCCGCCGGGGCCCCGCCCACGCTCTGCTGCGACTTCCCATTCGTCGCCGGCCGACGCGCGTCGGTGACGCCACGGCGCCCGCTGCCCGGAAGTGCGCGCGGCGGCGACGGCGGCGGCGCGGCCGGTGAGCGGGCGCGTGGGGGGCGTGCGGGTGCGCACCGCACAAAGGGGCCGGGAGGAACGGTGTTGCCCGCTCGGGGCCGGGTATAGGTGAAGGCGGGAGCCGGGGGCGGCGAGAGGCCACCTCCGCTCTCGGGGACAAAGCCCAGTGTGGAGGTCCAGGGGCCGCGTCGCTGCCACGTCTCGGCTGACCGCGGGCTGATTCATCGGGTTCCCCCGGGCACTTTCCCTTCCTCTCGGCCAGGCCCCCGAGGGTCTCACCAAGTCTTTTCGGGCCAGCACCTGGTGTGGGGGGCGGAACACGCCATTTCAGGGCCAGGGTCCCCAACGGGTTTTTTTGCGTTGAGGCAGATGTGGAAGCAAACGGAGTGTTTTTCTTTCCCATGTGGTCTCGGTAAGGGGAACTCGCCCCCTGCTGGGAAACGGCGCTCCTTGAAACCTGCTTTCCAAGGAAAAGAATGGTTCCTCTTTAGTGGTCCCTCTCCGTGGGAGTCACCTGGGTGCCCACCTTATGTGGAAGACAGGGTGTGGGTGGGACTCGGGACACGGTATCATGGGGGGAGGTGGTAAGTGAGGAAAAAGCGGGCAGCAAACAAGTCATGGGAAAATATATAAAATAATGCTGGGAAATATCCCTGAGTCATAAATGTCACATGTGTTGGGAAGTACGGTGATACACACATGTGGCTGTGACTTGTTCGGGAGGAGACCAAGTGTTCCTGCAAGTCTTTGAGTTACGTTTTCTGGAACCACTGTTCTTGGCAGCCCTGTACTCCTCAGCTTTAACTGAAACTCACCTTTCAGGGGACTCTTGTAACAGTAAAATGTGATACGCGCAGTGTTTCAGGAGTACAAAACTGGACAGCGACAAGCATAGATTTAGTCATAACTATTCCTCAAATTGTCACTTATTTCAGATTTTCATCCGAACAGGAGATGAATGTCATTCAGTTCATAAATAAAATTGCACTGTATCCCCTTTTTTCCCTCCTCGTTTAGAAGTCATTGTTGTGCATGCATGTTTGTCTTGTAGATGTGGGGTTGGTGACTTTCTCCCCAGATGCTGAGGTGCCTGAATCCCTGGCGCAGGCCATTACTGAGCCGTGGTTGGAGCAGAGTGTGCCTTCTGAAGCAATATCTATTTACAATGAAGTTGCAGTCTCCAGAATTCCAGTCACTTTTCACAGAAGGATTGAAGAGTCTGACAGGTGAGATTAGGATGGCTTTTCTTGCTTTGGAAACCTGTGTAAATGGAGAGGCAGGGGGTTAACGTTTTTTAGCCTGTTTTTGTTGAGCTAACGAAAAAGGTTTCCTGTGGGTAATCCAAAACCATAGCCGCTAAATCACAGGAAGAGGGAAGAAATGGCTGTAATAAAAAGCGTGGCTTTTCTCTTTGCTATGCTGAGTACTTTACATGAAAGGATTGGGCCTACTAACTTAATAAGTAGGTACATTTTCTCATGTTTTGTGGATGAGGAAACAGAAACTTGGAGTGCGAAATGCTTTGCCAGAGTTTCTATAAGTAATAACTGGAAAGCTGGGTTTTGAACTTGTGCATTCTGATTTCAGAACCCAGCTTGCAATCACTAAGCTGTATTTCCTCCCTAGGTATAAGTGCTTTCTGAGGGAACTGAAGGCAGGAGGAAATAGGAGTCGCCTCCACTTGTGCACATCCGGAACATGTCTGGAAAGAAGACAGGAAATGGCTTTAGCTATAAGTGCCTGATGGCAGCAGCTTCATCTTGCTTGCCACAGTTTTATCATTGCTTATATTGGTCCTCAATATCAGCTGCTGCTGTTGCTCAAGCAGCCAGACAGCTGCCTTTCCAAGCCTGTGGTATTTTAGTGATGCCTTCAGAACTACAATGTGTATGTATGTAGAAACATGACCTGAACAGCGGTCTGCAACCCTGGCTGTCTCTTAGATTCACCTGGGGACCTTTTAAAACATACAGATGCTGGGGTCCCACCCCCGACATACTGAACTGGAATCTCTGGGGAGGATGGGCATCTATAAATTTTTATTAAAAATTCAACTCCATTAAATTTGATGCAGCAAAGGTGGAGGAACCATTGCTTTAAAATGACTGTTTTTGTATTAGCTTATTCTCAAAGCTACTTTCCTATTCTTGAAATTAGATGATTTTTTCAGGTACATGTCAGAGGTAGATGATCCAGAGCTTGATTCTTAGAGGTTCTTCACATGATCTTGAAGTAGGGGGCCCCCAGCGGATGTGGTGCCAGCATCTTCAAACAGTGGTTGTCTGTGTCTTCAGCCTTGACCTTCATCCTTACCCATTGTTTGCATTCCAAAACAGTTTCTTAGATAATATTTTAATTTGAAGGAAGAAAGCCTTTTAAGAAAATAATACTTTCCAGTGAAGCCACTCTTCTTGTTTTTTAATGCTATGATATCACAGTTCACTTCCATGGTAAGCCAAGTTGGTGGAAAGATGAGTAAGAGAGGTTTTCTGCCCTGAGGAGTGGGGAGACAGATATAACCAGGTAATTTTAATATAATTAGTATGCATAAAGATAGGCTATTCGAGTAGCTTAGAAGAATTCACTTAACTCCACCATCAGGAGAAGCTTCCTAAGCTGAATCGCCAAAGATGAATAAGGGTGAGCTAGATCAGTGTTTTTCCCACTGAGGGTGGGAAAAACACTGACCCCTCAGGTGAGTCAGAAGTCAATTTAGTGGTCATGACCAGCATTAAAAAAATAGAGGAAAAGGGGATAAAATAGAACAGATTAGATTGCATGGTATGTAGGAAGGTTAAGTATTATTTCATGGAATTTTTACTTAACATACACACACACAAGTGTGTGACTGCTATGTGAAATGTCTTTCTAAGTGTGGGTTGTGTGCCAATACATTTGATAGTTAGCCGTTCAACTAGATGAATAAGTTGGGAAGGTGTTTAGGTGAAGTGATTCGTGTGAGCAAAGTTAACAGAAGGAAACTACAAGGAGAGTTTGGCACTTGTAAAATGTGATGCAAAGATAGTGAGAGATGAAACAGAAGTAGGTCATGGAGGCCCTTGGCTACTGTACGAAAGAAATTTGGATATTGTGCTGTGAGTAGTTAGGGGAGCAGTGGCATAGCATAACTAAGCTGGTGATTTAGATCCCTCTATCTAGACCATGGAGGCGGGATTTAAGGGGAGTGGTGCAGCCCTGGAGGCAGGGAGATAAATGAGGGCACTCTTGTGAGACTCTTGTACCAGTACAGGAAGGAGATTACGAGGCCCCTGGACTAGGGCAAAATGAAGCTAGAGTCCAGAAATATTGTGGAAGTCCTTAACCTTTTGGGTCATGGACCTCTATAAATCTCATAAAAACTGTGGACTAACATACATGATTTTTATATTTTAAGGGACCATGGTCCCCATAATAAGGAACCCTTAAGAGGGAAATATAATCAGTGGGACTTGATGAGAAATGTGGAGTTAAAGGAATATGGACACTTACTGTTAGAGAGGACTTATGGAAGTGTTATCCTTGTGGAAGAGCTTTTGGTTAAGGCAAGAAGGTAAAGGGAGGGAGCGTTCGTTATTTTTTAGCAAATCATTTAGGGAATCTACAGAGAATGGGCTGGAAGGTTTGGGAAGAATAGGTAGAGGAGGAGATGACAGAGAACAGAAGAAGTTAGAGCCGGGACGGAAGATGACATTTTGAGTTGTGATTAGGAATGTTAGAGCTCTGATGCATTTAGCTGAAATCTCAGGTCAGTGCTCTCCGGCCGGAGTCCACTAGAAACACACCAAGTTGAGTTGTTACTTCTTGCAGTGAGGAAGAACGCTGACCATGGAGAACCTTGGGACGTCTTGGTGAAAGGGTTTTAGAAAGGACTTCTTGTAGGATTTGGGCCGTATCACATGGTTTTGGGGCGGGTTTAAGAAGTGGGGCTTTGCTGTGGATTAGCTGGTGTCAGGAAGCAGGGATAAAGCTGTGATTCATAATAATTCTTGGGTAGAAGGTGAGAACACAGGGCAAGGCTAAAACTGGTAAATAAGGAGCAGTCATACATCTTAACTGTTAGAGGGTGGTGTCGTAGACAGCATTCATGTCTTGTCTGTGTTTGAACATGATTACGAGTTGGCTTATCTTGATCCATCGTGGTCACAGAGTGGCCTTGTCTGATGTGGATGTTCTCTGACATTATGTTCAGCAGGAGAACACCAGGGCCTAGTTGTGAGTTCCAGGCCAGCTCATAGCAACACCAAGGCTTAGCTGGTCATATGAGGCCAGTTCCTGGATGTCATTCTCACTAGGTTCCATTTGGTGTCCTTTGGTTTTATGGATAGTTATAGTGGACTGTGCCTTGTCCCATACCTACAGAGGCATCAACTCTGTCTCCTGTACTGAGACTGTCACAGTAGTTCCAGGGTTCACATGGTTTTTGTAGAGCAGAGAGATGAGTTGGTTTTAAACATCATATGCAGGTTATTTCTTGAAGGATTCTTAGCTATAACATTTATCATACGTGGTGTGGTAGGCTAATGTTTGATAGTTTCATAGTTTCATGCCTCAACATCAATACACAAAGAGAAATACATACAAGAACACTTCACATTTCTAGAGGATGCACACAAACCTGGAGAAAGAAAGCAGAATTGTTCACTTTACTCTTTGGAAAGAATTCAAATTTATAATAATGACTTTGAGGCATTGTGGAATTCTGAATTATCTTCTGCCTCTGCAAAGAAAAATTCTGCAAGTTCCCTGCTTCTCACAGTTGTTACAGGCATTCTGCTCTAGGCAAAACACTTCATTTCTATGGGCCCGTTCTCCTAATTTTCATATGAAAAGGCTCAGTGGAATAATGTCTGCTGTCCCTAATAGATTGAAAAACCTTGTACTTCTTTGCTTCTTTAGAAACACATTGAAATAAAAAATATTCTTTGTTATCTCAGAATTATTTGTCAAAGAAAATCATGAATTAAGAATAGCAGGAGGAGCAGTGAGGGATTTATTAAATGGAGTAAAGCCTCAGGATGTGGATTTTGCTACCACTGCTACCCCAGCTCAAATGAAGGAGATGTTTCAGTCTGCCGGTATTCGTATGATAAACAACAAAGGAGAAAAGCATGGAACAATCACTGCCAGGGTGAGTGAAAAGTGTGACAGTAATTGCATTGCCTTTTTTGTAATTTTTAAAATTTTTATTTTTTTTTCTGGTTTAAAAAAGCAGATAACGAAAAGCCTAATAAAAAAATGTCAGTCTCCTCTACCCTCTTCTGAAACCCTGCCTCTTCCTTTGTTGCAGCCACTTTCAACTAATTTTTATGGTACTCACCAGACCTCCACATTTCTAAAAAAGACCTTTCTATGCTGCACTGTTTTGCATTTCTTTTTAATTTCCCAGTTTTAAGATGCTATCTATTAACTTCCCAAGAGGGAAGATGATTTAGTCTTCTTACCACACCCCTCCTCAACAGCAAGCACATATAATTCTCCTTCCTTCATCTTCTCAGTATATTTATACCATAATTTTTGGTTAAATCAATATTCAGGGTTTACATTTATAACTGTATTGTTTACAGCTGGATCGTGTAGTATATTATGACTACATTTGTTGTGTTGCATGGTTGGTTTTCCCTGCATTTTTCTTTTACATAGCTATCCATATGCCACTAATTCATTCCTGTACTCTGTGTCAGAACAGAAAGTTCCTCTCAGTTGACTTAAAACACATGAAGTTTCCATTCCTTTTTTTTGAGCCATCTCACCTGATGCAGTCTGTCTTCTGCTCCCATCTGGCCATTCTAGGCGGGCTTCCCGCTCTCATCCTGGGATTCCCCTGCACCAGATCCTGGGAATTTCCTTGGCTTCTTCCTTGTTAGACCTCCTGGTTCCTGGATCACATGCGGGATTCTTTCTTGGTTTATGCCCGCGTTTTGATAGTCTGAAACCTGAGAAAGCCTGAGTATATTTTCATTTTGCCTTCACACTGGTCTGATAGTTTCTTGGCTGTGGAATTCGAGGCTAGGAATCATTTTCACTCAGAAATGTGAAGGCTTTGTTTTCTGCCTTCTGTTGCTGCCACTGAGAAGTTGGACCTCATTCAGAGTTCTCCTTTGTTTGAGACCTGATTTTTTTCCTTTTGTAAGCCCTTCTGATCTTTTTATCTCTGTGTTTTAAATTTCAAGATGATGGGCCTTGGTTTGGATTTATTTTTTCATTCATTATATAGGGCACTTAGTGGCTTTCTTGTATTTTTCTCATAATTCCATCCCCTTTAGTGTCTTCTCCTTTGGAAACTCCTATTGTGTTGTGCGTCGGACCACAGGGACTGATCTTCTAGTTTTGTCTTCGTGTTTTATATTCTTATATCTTTTATTTTACTTTCCATGAGATTGCCTTAAGTTGATCTTCCAATCTTTCTATTATATTTGCAACTTTTGCTATCTTTTAAATTTTCCAGGGGTCTTTCTTAGAATATTTCTTTTGAAAGCTGCTTGTTGTTGTTTCAGATGTAATGTCTTTTATTGTCCTTATGAAGGGGTTGGGGTGGTTTCTCCACACCAGTGAGCAATGCTCCAGCCACCAGCTGGGTTTCCTACAATTCAATTCAATTCTGAGGCTATCTACCCAGAGATAGCATCAGATCCCACAGGTTAAGGGCTCAGTTCCTACAAGAATACTCTTGCTTCCTCCCCCCAACAATTTCAGATGCCAAGCACAAGGCCAGGCCGTTACCTGTGCTTCTGACCAACTGACTGTAGATTGTAGGTTCCAGCAACCTCCTCCTTGGACTTCAGACACCAGTTGCAAGTCGAGGTTGTTACCGGTACTTTTGACCAACTGGCTATAAATCAGAGGTTCCCACGACTTCTCCTTGGGTTTGATTAATTTGCTAGAGCAGCTCACAGAACTTGGAAAAATTTTACTTACTAGATCACCGGTTTATTATAAAAGGATATAACTCAGGAACAACCAGATAGAAGAGATGCATAGGGTAAGGTATAGGGAAAGTGTGGAGAGCTTCCTTGCCCTGAGTGCACCTTTCTCCCCAAATCTTCACATGTTCACCAACCCAGAAGTTCTCCAAACTGTGTCCTTTTGGGTTTTTATGGTGGCTTCATTGCATAGGCATGATTGAATCATTGGCCATTGGCAATTGAGCTCAATCTCCAGCCCCTGTCCCCTCCCAGAGATTGGGGGTGTGACTGAAAGTTCCGACCCTCTAGTCACATAGTTGGCCCATTGGCAGCCAGCCTCCATCTTTAGGTGCTCTCATCACAGGAAATTCCAAGGGTTTTGGGAGGTCTATGCCAGAAACAGGGATGAAGACCAAATATATCTATATATTATTATTATAAATCGCCATATCACACCTTAGGATATCAATATAGTTATTTTGACAATGGCTTTATTTCCTCTGAGCTTTATCTGTCTTGCCAGTTGGCTTTCTTTAAATATGGGTATTTTTTGGCACTCTCTATATTTGGGTGATCTTCTGGTGTTAGCAAAATGACTTGAGAACTTGATTGTAGTTTTGCTTGGAAGGGGTCAGCTGGTTAGTTGTGGGAGTGCCAATGTCAATATCAGTAGGACTTTTCATTAGGAAAAATCAGAGGAATCTTCCAGTGTTATCAAGGTTAGAAAAAGCTTACTTGTTAGCATTTTGGAAACCAAATGGGGAAAGGGATGGAGGTCATGTTGATTTTGTCACTTAATCCTGTTTTCATTGTGGTGCTTTACTCCCATGATCATCTATGTCTGGTGCTCCAAGTTCTGACTATTTTCAGGTCCACCTTTCTGTCTAGTGGTTAATCTCTGGGTCTCTGCCTGAGTAAGAGCAGTCTAATTATTTGTCTTATGATGATGTTTCTTTTTTGGTGAGGAAGATTGGCCCTGAGCTAACATCTGTGCCACCCATCCTCTTTTTTGTCTGTGGGACTTTGCCTCAGCATGGCTTGATGAGCAGTGTGGAGGTCTGCGTCCGGGATCTGAAACCACAAAACCCAGGCCACTTTGGAGTGCATGAACGTGTAACCAGTACGCCACTGGGCCAGTCCCTATTATGATGATGTTTCTTATGTTGATTTTCAAACATTCCTTCTATTTCAAACCCTTTGCTTACCCTTTACCTTCAGAGATGCTTGTGCTTCAATTTCTGAGTTCTGGAATTCTCTAGTGAGAACTAGCTTGTTTCTAGGGAAGAATATATATGAGATTGAGAGGCATTCTAAAACATACTTCTAGTGATCATTAGTGGCTTTCAGTTCCTCATGAAGAGATTCCAGACTCCTGCTTGGCATGTAAAACCCTTTGCTGTCTACACCTAAATGCTAATATGCTCTTTGTCAGGTAAACTTCCTCTTCCTCTCTGCTGTGCCTTTAGTCATCTTTTCACTTGAATGTTCTTCTTCCCACATCTGCATATACAGATCCTATGTACTTTTCAAGGCTCAGCTCACATGTCACTCCATCATGAAACTCCTCAACTTTTCCCAGCTGGAGGTTATCTCTCTTCCCAAGATATATGTAACACTTTATTTTAGCTTCATTGATGATTACCAGTAAAGGAGTTGCAGCATGTGTTAACTCTTTGTATTTCTTCTGTCAATCCTTTGCTCAATGGTGTGTAGTCTATAAATTGATATTCAGCTCTTTGCAAACTGGAGCTATTCAAAAATATTTCAAAGAGTACCCTGATTTGAAATTTAAGAACCAGAATATGGTCATGTGCTGCATAACGGTCAACAATGAACCGCATATACGACAGTGGTCCCGTAAGATTAGTCCCATAGAGCCTAGGTGTGTAGAAGGCTCTACCATCTCGGTTTGTGTAGGTACCGTCTGCGATGTTCACAGTGACAAAATTGCCTAACGATACGTTTCTCAGAACGTATCCCTGTTAAGCGACACCTGACTGTATGCCGTTAGAAGGGCTCGTCCCTTGTGTCATGTCACTTGTCAGAGTTGCCATCGTTTTATGTCAGACTCATCTTTTTTAATTGGGATGGTTTTATTATTTTATTTTTAAAAAATATTCTTTGGATCTATCTTTGAATATTGTGGGTGTCTTTCTGTTTCAAGACATATGTGCACTAGTTGACTTTAAAAAGAAAGAAGATATACCTGTCAGGACCCCTGTATTTTTTTCAGTCCATCTAGTGATACTAAAAACTAATTTTTAAAAAACATATATTTAATTACAGCTTCATGAAGAAAATTTTGAAATTACTACACTACGGATTGATGTTGTCACTGATGGAAGACATGCTGAGGTAGAATTCACAACTGACTGGCAGAAAGATGCTGAACGCAGAGATCTCACTATAAATTCTATGTTTTTAGGTAATACATGGAGATAAAATAGTATTTTACTTCAATCTATTTGAGTGCCTTCTTTTCAAGTGAAACCTGCATTCTGGGAATGTTCTCCAGCTTGAGAGTTTGCATTAGTTTCTTCTAAGAGACAGTGTAGCATATTGGTTAAAAGATGACTCCAGAGCCCAAATTCCTGTGTTCAAATTCTGACCCCATCACTCACTGGCTGTAAAATGAAGATGTTATTAATTTCTTTTGTAGGGTTGTTGTGAGGATTAAAGGAGTTAATAATGGTAAATGTTTAGAACAGTGCCTGGCACATGTACACATTCAATCAATGTTAACTTATTAATTGCATCTAAAAATGGTTACATTTCAGGTAAGAAAAATGCACACACAGACACACCCCCTGTGTCACTCTTTGTCCTCTGCACTGTCTTTCATGCATGCATGTCCCACCCTTTCCTCTCTTCTGGAGCTCATGGCACACATTGGTGAATGTTTTCAGCACGTTTTCTATTGCTGAGCCTAGACACAACCTCAGATTCTTTAATTGCATTGCATTGTAGGAATCCTCTACAATCAGTCAGAATTGGCATGTAAGAGGAAACCTGTTTATCATCTCAGTGTAACTTTTTTGTTAATGAGCAGTAAGAATCGTAATGGGAGTAGATGTGAATTAGGTTAGTATTTTGGTACATAATTGAAGCATTATTTTTTTTTACTTTAAGTTTTAGACAAGCCCTTTATGTTTAAGACTTTGGATTAGAAAAGAGAGAGAGAAAGCATCCACTATTCATACCCTAGTTTGTGACAACAGTAATAGGATTCACTTTATGGGATGGAGAAGGGGGCTGTAGGCCAAGGTGGGATCTTTCGCTCATTACATTACTGATGGGTAACATTGCTAGAGTGCCTACTAGGTTCTAGGCACATCAGTGGTCGCTTGATATACTTTGTCTCATTTAACTCTCAGGAAAACTTCATGAAGTGGGTATTAAACCTATTTGACAGATGAGGAAACAGATTCAGAGATGTTAAGTAATTTAGTTCAAGTCACAGAGAGCCATGGTTTCCAAAGCCTGGGTGATTTATGAGCAGAGGGAGCCCAACTGGTGGCATGTTTTCTCTCCATTGTGTGGTCAAACTCCAGGTATTTATTTCATCGTACATCATTCTTTCTTAGTAGTGCAATGTATAAAATCTCGTAACTAGCTTCTCATAAGCATAACTAAGAAACTAAATATTCTTTTTTAAGATACCATTTTATAAAAATAAAAGCTATTCTAATTGGTACTACTGATTTCTAACATTTGCTGAATCCTTATAATGTGCCAGGCACTGTTTTAATCACATCACATAAATTGAGTTTTCCCAACAACCCTGTGAAGCAGATCCTGCTAGCTGGTAAGCTGCAGACTTAGGATCCCAACTAAAGCAGCCTGGCTCCAGAGGTCACATTCTTAACCACGATGTTATTCTTAGCAACTCAACTTTATTTCTTATTTTTATTCACTATATTTTAAAAGAGTGATATTCAGAGCAAAACAAAATACACACCAGTAGAGTACTCACTAATCCTTACTTTTAGCCCATTTTTCTGTCCAGCCTTTTTTCAAGCCTTATTGGATGAACCATTACTAGTTTTTGCTCTTGTCATATCCTATGTTTTTTACCTTCAAATTTTGGTCTTTCCTTTATGGAAAAAGACCTTGGTAATTCCATACTCGCCAGGGAGAGTTGTCTTTCCATTAAGAGGAACAGCATTAAGGGACAGATATACCACATTTTATTTGCTACTTTGTAATCATTTTTTTGTCTATTACCTATTTTTTTCTTTTCATTTTCTGTTACTTCTTTTTGAATCTGGAGCCTTTACAATTTGCTGTACATATCAAAATGCCATATAAACCAAAACAGCTTGGGAAGTGTTAAGCCTGAGCTTGCCAGTGTTGTTGCATTTGGGATAATCAGAGCTAAATTGACAGGTGGTGGTTTTTCATAAGTAGGGGCAGTACCTCCTTTCTGTGGTGCCACGAGGTGAAGTGTCTCGTAGGATCCCTGACCTCCCCATTTGGATGGTCAAATGGTGCCCCCAGTATTTGCTCTCAGTGTTTCTCTTTTTCCTTCTTAGTCCCTAGGATGGCCGTCTGTCTCAGTTTCCCTGAGAATGATCTATTTTCTGGGACATGAACGATTTTTAATTTTAAAACCAGGAAAGCCCTGGGATAACTGGGATGAACTGGCACTCTACTAATACTTGAGGTTTTATGTGCCTTAAAATTGTTTTGTCAGTTTTTTTCATTCAACATCTGAGAGAATATAATGTAGTGGAAATGTTTTTGAATGGATATTAGGTTCACATGGTTCAAAATTCACAAAGTTTAAAAGGCTACATAATGAAGTCTTCCGATGTGGTTCACCATCTCCTTGCTAGCAGTAATCAGACATGGATCTTTGCCAATCTGACAGAAATCTGAAAAACAGTATCTCATAAATTTGCATTTTTTTATGACTAAGGTTGAAAATCTTCATTTTTTAAAGAGATATGTGTTTTTAGTTCACTTTTCTACTTATGCAAGCTTTTTATTTATTTATGAGCTTTTTGTATATTATGGAAATTAACCATTTCTCTCTATGATACTAACTTACTTACATTTTTCCCAGTATGTCACTGATCTTATGCTTTGCATTGTGGTAGTTTTTATCATGCAGGCATATTTGATTTTTTGTGTAGCTGAATTTATTAATAATTTCTTTGAGGGTTCTGGTGGTGTGTGTGTTTTGTTTTTCTTGGTAATTATATTTTGAAGAGTCTTCCCCATTCTAGGATTATACATTTTTTCCTATTTATTATTTTAATTATTTTTTTCAGATTATGTTCCCTATTACTTATTTTTTCCAGATTACTTTGGCTATTCTTATTTTCCCACATTAACTTGAAAATCAGCTTGTTTGGTGTCTTATCTTCCTCCAGCCACTTCATACTGGCATATTTCTTGTTTAGTTTATTCCTGAGAGTATTATCTTTTTAGTTGCTGTTATAAATGCAGCCTTTTATCCCGTTATGTCTTCCATTCAGTAGTGGGTACAGATGAATGCTACTTCTGTCTGTATTTTAACTTTATAACTCTTCACTTTGCCTACTGTTTGTGATAGTGTTTTAGCTGATCTTCTTGTGTTTTCCAATTTTTTTCCCCAGTTTGATTCTTTTTTACATTTTTTTATTGAGGTATAATTGACATAACAGCATTATATTAGTTTCAGGTGTACAATATAACGAATCAATGTTTGTATATATTGTTAAATGATCACCACAGTAAGTTGTTAACATCCATCACCATACACGCAGAATATTTTTTCCCTTGTGATCAGAACTTTTAAGATCTACTCTGTTAGTGACTTTCAGATATGCAATACAGTATTGTTAACTGTAGTCACCGTGCTGTACCATTACATCCCCATGACTTATTTTATAACTGGAAGTTTATACATTTTGATTCCCTTCACCCTTTTGCCTCCCCAACCCCCACCACCGGCAACCATCAATCTGTTCTCTGTATCTATGAGCTTGGTGTTTTTTTTTAGATTCCACATATAAATGAGATGATATGGTATTTGTTTTTCTGTGTCTGACTTATTTCACCTAGCAGAATGCTTTCAAGGTCCATTCATGTTGCAAATGGCAAGATTTCACTTTTTATGGTTGAATAACATTCCATTGTGTGTATGTGTGTATCTCAGATTGTTTCCCAATCCTTATTTGCTAATAGTGATTCCACTCCCTTTTCTAACGAATAGGTTTTGATGGTACTTTATTTGACTACTTTAATGGTTATGAAGATTTACAGAATAAGAAAGTTAGATTTGTTGGACATGCGAAACAGAGGATACAAGAAGATTATCTTCGAATTTTAAGATATTTCAGGTAAGAATTTTTAAAAATTTAATGGTATAGTTTTTAATATTATTACTAGAGCACAATTCTGGTCATGTGAAGGACACAGCAGGTCAGTGTACAAAATGGTGACATCACAAATGCCTGTCCCCAGTAGAGACTTAGCAGACTATTAACTTTTGAGTGAGATATTAGATACTTTCTATTTTCATTCACAAAACATACACATATTTACTCCATTCTGTGATGATCTATATAATTCAGCTGTAAATCATATTGTTAAATGTCCATTTTTCTTTTTGATTGAATATTTCCTGCGCTGATCGTTCATTACACAGATATTTGAGTGCTTACCACAGGTTACCTACTGTGCTAGGTGCTCTGAACAGAGTAAAGAATGAAAGTTTGCCTTCATATGGCTTAGTCTTAGATGGTCATGGGAAATCTCTTAGATGAACTTAAGTATGAAATGCATTTGGATGGTTTTGTGGGTAGCAATGATTTTTAAACTCTGAACTCTAACCTTTTAAAAAACTATTCTAACTGGCTAGTTTATGTCTAGTAATACTAATTTGTCACTGGTTGAGATCACTCAGGATATTCTATAATATAGATCCTGCATATTTTGTCAATAAATGCTATTCCTTTAAACTTGAGTATTTGCAAAATCTTTCTTTACAAATAACAGAACATAGATGGAGACTTAGACATAATTAGTTATTTAATGTAGATCACTAATGAACTGAATTTTAAAGATATGAGTGGTAGAACGGATGTACTTTAAGGCTTCCAATTTTGAGACTTCATGAAACATGCTCCAATGTATGCAACTGGATGTGTCATGTTTGAAACTCTTCATTAAAAGTACTGATGTGTACAGACAGGTAAGCTTTGAGGGATTAAGACTGCTTCGTGATGGATTCCAGTCTTGTTTTGGTACCTTTATAAGAACGCTCTGTTTTATTCATCTGCTGTTAAGTACCAATTCAGCAACTGCATTTGATGGCTATTCTAAGTGTCTCGGTCAGCAGTTTGGCAGTGAAAGTGAGGACGGGGTTTCTAGTTCTTGCTAACTTTGAGCAAGTTACTTATATTTTATTGGATCTCAGGTGTTCTCAGCTGGGAAAAAGAGAAGGTGGAGAACTGCCCGGATGAACTCTAGGGTCCCTCCTAGACCTAACTCTCTGTTGTTCCTCATTACATAGATGTGTGGGTAGCACCATAAAATGAAAAACGGGATTGCTGGTGATATGCCAAGACAGAGGTAATACACTCCAAGAATTTTGTTTTGTAGATTTTATGGGAGAATTGTAGACAAACTTGGTGACCACGATCCTGAGACTTTGGAAGCAATTGCAGAAAATGCGAAAGGCTTGGCTGCAATATCAGGAGAGAGGATTTGGGTAGAACTGAAAAAAATTCTTGTTGGTAACCATGTAAATCATTTGATTCACCTCATCTATGATCTTGATGTGGCTCCTTACATAGGTGAGATCAAGTTAGAAAATGTTTGCATTTTTGGCAATGAAACACATCTGGTTTAAAATTTCATAAGGAAGAAATGTTTGACTAATTTAGCTGAAGAAGGATTCTAAAAGGAAAAATGGACTATTTTAAAATATGATAAACAGGTCAGGGGCAGGACAGTTTTGTCATGGGTAGGGAACAGCTCAGAGACAGCGTACTATAGTGCTACAAAGTGGCCTTTGGAGTCAGACAGACCTGGGTTTGAATGAGGCTTTGCCATTTACCAGCTTTGTGACTTGGGTTCCTTAAGTGTTAGTTTCTGAATCTGAAAACGGGGTATGAAAATAATAGCATTTATCTAATGGAAAGGCTGAGAGATTCAGTAAGTTAATACAGGTAAAGTACTCAGAAGAGTGACTTATACATAGAAATTATTCAATAAATGTAATTAATATTCAGGAAGAATAGTGGGATGATATAATTTATCACACTTCAGGAAACTTGGGTATATTTCAAATAAGGACAAAATTGTTGAAGCAAGGGTGGACATTCTATGATAGTATGTCAGTGTAAAAGTCAGGAATTTGTAATTGGAATAAGCATCCCTTGTGAATATGACACCACCATTACTACCGCTGCCTCTGGACCTCCTGCTGTAGCTTGTTAATGGAAACAAGAGCATTTTAGGACTTCCCTTGGTTTGAGAGTGATATGAAAGAAGACTGCGACAGTGTATCAGTGGTTTACCTGTAAGATGAAGCATCAGATTGGACTAATAATGAGTCCTAGTGACAGGGCATTTCTGTATACGATAAAACAATGGCTGGTTTAGGATAAGGGTGTTTTTTAATTGAATTTATCCACTGTAAAATGGGTGAAAAATGCTTTTGTCCCTACAGGCTTACCTGCTAATGCAAGTTTAGAAGAATTTGACAAAGTCAGTAAAAATGTTGAAGGTTTGTCACCAAAGCCAATGACTCTCTTGGCCTCATTATTCAAAGTACAGGATGATGTCACAAAATTGGATTTGAGGTTGAAGATTTCAAAAGAAGAGAAAAACCTTGGTTTATTTATAGTTAAAAACAGGAAAGATTTAATTAAAGCAACAGATAGTTCAGAACCATTGAAACCCTATCAAGACTTCATTATAGATGTAAGTATATACTAGGCTTAGTCAGAATATAAATCATTGTCACTAATTGTAGAACTAATTTATTAATACTAAGACTCACAATGCATTCTGTGGATTTCATTTATTTTAAATGAAAAAATTTACATCGAGCATTTATTGTAGATTTTAGGATAAGATCATTAGCAAGTATTCTAATTTAGTGTGATGGAACTAAATGTTCGATTTTGGCACTTAGTCTAGGGAATCTGATGCAACTACTCGTGTATGTGAACTACTGAAGTACCAAGGAGAGCAGTGTCTTCTAAAGGAAATGCAGCAGTGGTCCATTCCTCCATTTCCCGTAAGTGGCCATGACATCAGAAAAGTGGGCATTTCTTCAGGAAAAGAAATTGGGGCTCTATTGCAACAGTTGCGAGAACGGTGGAAAAAAAGTGGTTACCAAATGGAGAAAGATGAACTTCTAAGTTACATAAAGAAGACCTAAAGTTGATGAGAGCTGCCTACTAAAAAGCAGAAAATTTGTGGTTAGTTTTTTTTTTTGCCCTCCCTCTTGAGATTTAAGAGATTTGAATATATAGCAGAATAAAAGCCAGCGTAGAGGACCTCGTCAGAAGAATGAAGATCTTATTTTGTGAAATATAATTATATTTCAGGCACTACACTGAAGTCTACCTCCTCTTAATCTGATTTATATCATCACTGAACCTTATAATTCTTTTGGAATAGTTCCTACTGAGAAAAGTATATTTGGCCTCTCCTTTCTATCTTTATCTGTCTAGGCTTTAAAAGAAAAAGTTTTGTTTTGTTTTGTATAGGACAGTACTATCTTAAAAAGTGGTAACTGTCTTGAGGACATGTTTCTTAGTGTTTGCAATTGAAATAACTTATTTTATACAATGATTGTCTATGATGTGTCAGTTCTTATCTGAATTTCAGAATAAACTTGTGCTTGAAAAGAAAATAATTGACAAGTTTGCATAAAATATCCTATATAAAATGTGAAGATCAGCTGAGTCATAGGTGGCTGCCATTCACACATCCAACACTTGTTCTAGGCAAGCTGTATTTCAGTATGTAGTTGATACTCTCCTCTGTCATAATGGTTTCCTTAACTATGCATGCTAAGCCTGGGAAAGATGAACTTGAGGCTTACTCTTGAGCCTGTTAATAAACATTTCCTTTGGAAATTGGAAGATAAATGTGTTTATGTGGTATCTGACAGTATATATCGGGTGGCAATATATACATAGTGATAATACTCCTGTCCCTTTAAAGTAAATGTTAATTTCTTTCATTAGTTAAAAGGATATGACCTACATTAAAATTTCCCTGAACAGGCCTGTCCATTTGCTTTGTAAAGATTTGAGCCCTAAATGCTTTCAGTAGGTAAATGGGTGTATAGCACAAAGTATTGTTTATTTCTGCTGCTATATTCTGACTTTTTTTTTTTAATTTAATTTTTTTTGAGGAAGATTAGCCCTAAGCTAACTACTGCCAGTCTTCCTCTTTTTTTGGTGAGGAAGCCTGGCCCTGAGCTAACAACTGTGCCCATCTTCCTCTACTTTATATGTGGGACGCCTACCACAGCATGGCGTGCCAAGCGGTGCCATGTCCACACCGGGGATCTGAACTGGCGAACCCCGGGCTGCCAAGAAGCGGAATGTGCACACTTAACTGCTGTGCCACCGGGCCGGCCCCATATATTCTCATATTTTATAATTGATTTTCCTTTCTGTATAGCCAGTCCTAGCACCTTCGTTCTCTATGGGCAAATAGCAATTTTGGACCTTGATAAAACAATTTTGAAAAGCACATTTCTGTTTATTAAAGCCCTGCTAAGAGGTCTAACAAACAAATAGTTAACAGGGGCTGTAGTGCAAGAAAGGGGCCTCAATGACTGCACACAGGTCCATAATGAAATGTATTACAAAATAAGACTGAAATATTTAAGTACTACTAAAATAGATGTTTGGACCCAACATCAGAGAATTCCTACTGTTCTATATAGCAAATATGCAGATTTAGCTATTTCAGAGGTCTGGTTTTGTCATGTATAAAACTTTAAAATAGTATTATATGCATCAGAAAACTTTATTTATTTGCAAGTGTCAGTAAACAATATAGAACATTCTAAGATTACACCCCTGGGAGGCGGGGGACGGGTGCAAATGTAAAAGCAATGTTCCCTCACTCCAACTGGTTTAGATTTCAATGTAAAGAGATGTGCTGCGCTGCTGAAAAGAACTCCCTGGAGTCCATTTAGAATGTTTTAGTTCACTGTGAGACTGTATGAACAACTAGTAACATCATATAAACCCAGGGTTATTAGTAGTAGTAATAAGGTAAAGCTTAGAAAGAAAGTTACAACCTTGGGTGTACTGAATATGGCAGGGGCATGTGCTAAAGAACTGACAGCACTCTTGGGTTGCTTTTCATTTACTCTCTTTACATAAATATGCAGTATGATATTCAATTGATGTTTTCAGTCTGGGCAATCAAAACCATTGCATGTTTGGTAAAATACAAAATATTGACAAATTAAAACATAAGAAATTTAACAGTCTGTTTTTGGCCTCATACATTTTACCCAATTAGTTGAACTTTTCCCAATGAATTATGTAAAGCAGTGAAAGAATATCAAATCCAAAGTTAATTACACAAATGTGAAAGGATCCAATAAACCCTCGAATGTATAAGCAAAGAGGTAGTGGCAAATCAGTCTACCTAGAACTTTATCTTAAAAACTATCTGTTACACCTAAATTATCCACTTATGAGTAGATATTTTACATTATTTAAACAAAGAACATGTTTAATTTAAAGTTTACTTACAGATTTTCTTCAATTTACATTGAATGAAATAGCCTAAAAAATAGCATCTCTGTTCCCCAGTAGTTTAGGTACAAATTAAACTTTGGAACAGAATAACCAGGGTTATGGTTCAAACAAACACTGAGCAAATACATAAAATACCGTTTCTCACTAACAAACACGTAAGGAAATGAAAACTTTATTCTGGGGCTCAAACTGCATATTTTACCTCTTTAGTATTTTCAAAATTTACAAAGCGCAGTATCTCAGAGAAGCTAAAGGAAATGGAAAGGAACAAAGCCCTTTAAAATAATACACATTGCCTTGCCTCTTTCAAAAAGGAACATGTACTTGTGCGTGGCACCCTAGCTTTTGGAACTTCTGCCGTTTGGACTGATACAAACATGCTGTTCCACATTTTGGGATCATATCATTATGATTAACCTCACATTACAGGAGTTTCAAATATGTTTTGTGCAGGAAACAATCTCACCACTTTCAGAGACGTCTTCATGTCCTACCAATGACATGCTACCAGACACATCAGATTCCACAGAATAATGGCACCAAGCTACTAAAGTAGATATTCCAGAAAACCAAGTATTCTAGACTGCTTTTCATTCTCTTCAATAGTATTTTCATTCTCTTCAACAGGATGTTTTAATTTAAGTCTTCAAATACCATTTGACTAAGAAACTGCAACCTCCCATGTAATGTTGCTTTTTACTTAGGTATGCATCAAAAGCAGTAATTTTCAAAGCAGATCTGATTTTAGAATACCAACTTGTTAAATAACTTTATCCCTACCGTATTTGTTTACAAGCAAAGTATTACTTTGTCTGGGCTTATTTCATCTTCAGTGTCTGGGATTGTGGGCAACAGAGCAGATCGAGTCAAACCCCAAAATTTTTGAGGTGACATGTCTTTTTTGGTGGCTGTAAATTTCCATCCAATATGGCTTGCACAGATCCGACACTGGGCAATAGTCCAGGCGTACCTACAAAATTAAGGAAAGAGATCAGCTAAGGAAGCACATTGCTGTACTCCAAGCCTATCATCATATAAACCTGCTATGCAGACAGATCTTAGAGCCAAAGTCTAAGGATTGAGAAGAATAAATACTCTGAGCTTTGATCTATACAGTTCCCTGAAACAAATTTCATAAAAAGATTTTCTAATTTGTACCTTTCATTATGTTTAACACATCAGCCTTTACGTATAATTGTTACATTAGCATATATATAAAAGTTACTTGATTGTGTTTTTAGGCTATGTTTTTTTTCTTTCTTAGCATTGTAAAAAAACATTAATCTTATTAATATGGATTTCTTTATACAAATTGCTGGTTGCCAAGACCACATTCTAACTCACACCTGCTTTTCCTTTGTTGTTTTGTATCGCAGTCGAGTTAGAAAACAGTAACCACCTATAGAAATATGCACTTTTGTGTGAGTTAAAATTGGAGGGGTGGGGGGAAAGATAAGCATTCCTCATATAAGTTTTAAGAACTACTCTTCTAAAATAAGAATGGTTTTGTCAGATAAATTTCACCAGAAATATAAGCCATGGCATTTCTGTTCTTAGGAAAACTAAACCAAACTATGTAATTATAACCATTTCTGTACTTTTCCCCTATGTATATCCCACATTTAGTATTTATATTAATAACTTAATTCTAGTTTTAGTCCTTAAGAAGGGTGTCAAATAAGAGTGGAAAATCCACATGACATAGTTCTAGGTCCAGAAAGGGAGTCTAATCACTAATCTCTACTTAACTTGCCTCTGACTCGGAATGAAACAATGACCCAGAATTTGGAAATAAAAGACAAATAATAGGGTTCTTGAAGATAATATGGCTGAGGGAATCTAACAAGCTCCCAGGTGGTGACCTGGTCCCAGGATCATACTTTGAAGACCACTGGGCTAAAGCAAAAATTTAAAAAAAAAAGCAAAGTAGAAGAAAAGCCAGAGTCAATGGTTTCTACAGCTTTCTTATCACTGCTTGAGAAACATTCTCTGGTTTTACATATTACAGAATATGGTTCAGATAGAGTTTTACTGGGTCATAAGACAGTTGTTTTTCAGAATGAGCTGATAGGAAATGAAAAAAATTTGGATTAACTGTATAGTTTATTTCAGGATAACTGCAGTTGCCAATCTTCTTTCTCCCTAAGTATATTCACTGAGACTATGCAAAAATAGCTGTTCCTAGCCATTCATGAAATGAAGAGTATTTAAATAGAATTATTCATTTCATTGTCTATTTCTGATTATAATTCTAGCAACTCTGCTTAGGCCTCTGTTTTTCTGCCCAATTAAGACAAAACCAAAAAAAAAAAAGAGAAAGTAAGTCACCACCACCACCACCACCACCACATTACCCAGGAAACCAGCTGTGCACTGTAGAAGGCCGGCCGATCAGATTCAAGTTGGAAGCCTTGTACACGGTAAGCGTCTCATGCACATATCCATGAGGATTCACATAAGCTGCCATTGGCCCACATAAGGATAAACTAGAACAGAATCAGCACAGAGGATAAGTCAAAATGAAAAAAAAGTCTAACAGATATTTAAAAAGTTCACCAAGAAATAAGAGCTATAGTTTCTAACCTTTTAGTTATAGATAATAGAATCCAATACGGTAATAAGCGGTTGGTAGTCAGCCCAGTTTTATTCAGTCTAAATGATGACCAAAAGGAAAACAGTACCAAAGGAAAATAGTACTAGTTTTTTAAACCTTCCTCAAAATATACACTGTAAAATATACAGAGCTCCACTTCCTCTAAGGGAGTCTCCGAGAGTGGCCATGCAATGAAAAGGTCCCATTTGATCGTTCTTGGGTAGCTTATTACTTTGCAGACAGCAGTTTCCTTACCTTCTTGATTTATAATTATGATGAATTTGTCATAAAATAATTTTTAAACACTACTATATCACACAGCATCAGTACATGTTCAGAAGCACATCCTACTTTATCTTGGCCCTATGTGGCAAAACTGATGTTTGACTGAAATACAACGCCTGAGGCATTCCTGTTAGGTCCTGAATTACTAATAAGATATTCTAACATATAGATACTGTATAATATATAGATTTTCAACAGGACTGGGGGAAAAGGATCGCCCAGCTGTTTTATTTTACCATGCTCAGTACCTCTGAATAATCCCTTAATTATCCATTCTTGCTCCAAGTACCCAA